CTAAAACTAACTTAAAGAATTAATTCCAAAGTCTCTATTAAATTGTTTCTCTTTAAACAAAAGACTGACAAAATACCTCTCTGATAATTTCTAAGAAGATTACAAGCTATTATGGTTTTGAATTCCACAAATTTATACATAGAAGGAGCCAGATGAAAGAGCCAAGCTCCCTTACTTTTGTCTYGTGATCATTACCAACAGAAAAAAGCTTCATCAATTCAGGATATTTCAATCACCCAAATATTCCTTATTGTTCATTGTTCCACACCAAAATTTACATTTAGAATTAGCAACATATTTTTTCTAAAGGTCTATTATCCAAAAAGTAATTTATTTTTTATATTTACCATTTTTTTTTATTTATTTCTGAGGCTTAATCATTTCATCCCTGATCCTAAAAAATATACTAATAGTACCTTCTGATGTTCTTAAAATGGTGTTATTGATACTATAACTGCTATATTTGAAAAATTATACATAATTGTTTCTGAAATAAAATGCTTTAAAAGAAAACTTAACACCCTAAAGCTATAATTAGAACAATCTTTACTACCATTGCTAAAGTTCTGTAAAACTATTACTAAAATTCTATAAAGCAAACCCCAACCCTTACATAGCACATGATTCATGCCCATCAATTACTACTCAGAGTCTTTAAAAGGTAGGAACTATTAACCCATTTTACAGATCAGAAAAGTGGACCCTTTCAATACTATGTTGTCTCCTAAAAATTATATAAAACACAGTGTTTAGGTAAGAACAATTCAACTCCCCTTTATGTTCACGCCACTTTGTAATGGGAGTCAAAATATTAAGAATCTAATGTACTTATCTCACTTAAAATTTTTGTAAATGCCTCAAAAATTTTTCAAAGGTACAAGTACTAACAGAATAATTAAATGTGTAAGGAATTTTATTTAGTTCTGTTCCTTCAGCACCTCCCCATATACTACTCCCACATAACATTTTATTCATTATGTTTGTGAGATATTAAAGCCCTATTTTAGTCTAAGTTTCTATTTCATTGATAATTTAAAAACAAGTCAAAAAACCCAACATGTAACTCATCATATGCTGCTCCATCCCTTCCAAAAGAGACAGACATAGGCTAAGTCCTGAAAGTACCTCAATAGAGGGTGGGAATTCCTGACTCAAAAATCTGTCACACGGGGATGGAATTATAGCTTCAGTTGGTAGAGCGCTTGCTTGGCACATGTAAGGCACTTACAAAATAAAGGTATTTGGTCCATCTACTATAAAAAATATTTTTTTTTAAAAACGTGTCATATGTTACCTATTTTTCTAAAACTTATCTCCTAGGTTTTATATGTTAACTTCCACATTAATCAGCATCCTCTAAATAAATGCATACCTTAAGTAAATCCTATTCAGGGTTCCTATTCAACTCTGAATTTGAGACTACCAATAATCTATGAAAACCAGTACTTAAACCATGTGGAAAACATAATAATAATTATGGAGCAACAAAGATGTATTCTACAACAAGGTTAAGTGCCTCAAAAATTTTCAACTTTACAAAACATACTGCAACCAAAAAATAACATTATGAAAAGTGTTTATTTAATTTTCTAACCTGCAAGGTTTCTCCAGATCTACTTTTCAATTTTGGAAAATTAAACTCCAAGAATGAAACAATTGAGCACTTAAAAACGACACTACTATTTCTAGTTCAAAATCACAGAATTTCAGATTAGAAAAATTTCAATCCACTCTTTCACAAATAAGATAACTAGGGAAAAGAGAAATGCCAAGATTTTCCCAAGACTACCTACAAGCTGTCAGCAGTGTTTAAGATACAATACACATCTCCTGACTCTCAACCTACTAAAGGGTCTACTAAAAATTTCTCCCATAAGATGTTAGAAATATGCAGACATCTCTAAAGTGACAACTAGAAAGCACACTTAATAAACCAACTAGTTCAATTACTCAAACTAAGAAACAAATGACAACAGTTTTCCTTTGTCCAAAAAATGTTTTTTTTTCTTATTCTATAAAAAGTTCACCTATATACTTGGTTCCATTTAAAAAATAAGATTCTGACAAATATTTGAAAAATGCCCTTCTGCTTTAAAATTAATGTTTTTAAAAATTTATATAATCTGAATAAAATTATATTAGTGCCAAAACAAACTTTAATATCCTATCAAATTTCATTCACTTTGTTAAGAATGTTTTAAAACTCAACATAGATGGTAACAATTAGTCATATTTTATAATACCAAAAGCAAAAATAATGCTTGGATTATGAGTATTTCCTATTTCAATCACACCTGAAATAAATGCACTGGTTTTATTTTATTTTTTTAACTATCAACTTTAATACTGCTCTTTAAACTCCATATTCTTAACTGAAATCCAATCATTGTGATTCTATCTGCAGGCTAACTAAAAATGCTGATCAGTGCCCATTTTTTAACTCATAAGTACAAATATACACCCTTTCCTAACTTGCTAAGATTTTCTAATTTTTCTAGAACTTGCAATTTGACACTTGAATTTTCCCATTTAAAATACTGCTCAGTTTATCAGTTAATATATCATTCATTCCCAGGCAGAAATAGAAACTACATAAATTAGTTTTACTCACCTAATGGTCTTCAACCATTATTAAATAAATTCAACTTGATACACAACAAAGTAAAACTTGTTTTAAGTCATAAGAGTACATTAAAACAATAAAACTGCAAAAGGAATGAGCATGTGCTCACTTAGACACAAAATTTCAGGATCAATCAAACAACAAAACAAAATGTGCTCAAAAACCTGGTAATCCAGAACATTTTTAAAACTAAGTCTCAAAAAAAAAAAAAAAAATGAAGTTAACCCATGTAGCCACATACATAGATATATATTTGGAGGGATATGAAAGCACCTTAAATGGTGCCTTGCATCCAGTATACACAGTAAGCAATATGCTGAATGAAAAAGAGAAAATGAATCAAACTCCCGAGTTTAATAATAACTTTTAACTGCCTTATGAGTATGCCAACAAGACTGTTCTAGTAAGCTGAAAACTCTGAAAGCAAGAAAAAACACTTGCATGCAAAATAGGCTGATTTTGATAAGTAACACACTTAGACAATTCTTACTGTACTTTAAATCTGAAAAACAGACTAGGAATATAAATTCTAACATGTGGAAGATGAGAAACACTTCTCCCCTTCCCCAATTAAATCACAGTCAAAAATTTGAAATGATTCCTAGAAGGAATCACAATTAGCTGCTTCATTAAAAAAAAAAAGTAACATTACCGAAGGTCTCAAGAAAACAGCAATTCTCAGTGACTTGCACTTAAAAGATATTTTGTAAAACCTAYCCCCCATCTTTAAAATGGAATATTATCACCCTTGTGATAATTTTCTCAAATAGCATGGAAGACATAGAAATCCACTTACAATTTTTGTCAAATATTTATAACAATAAAAATTTCAAATACTGGTTAGTAAATCTTGAACTACTTCAAACTCAATTCATTTTAACTAAGTATTGAATATAAAACTACCCTAAATCACTACTTGAAAAATGACACAACTTAAGTATGGAAATGAATACACTGCTAAGTCTCTATTAGATTTATTAAACTAAAGTACCCTTAGTATTTAACAGCTGTGAGCAATCATCTATAACTGACATTAAATAAGAGACTTAAGCACACAAAAGCTAGGAGATGTACTATACCCAAAATAAAATAAAAGCTTTCAAAATTATGCTCATGACTTCACTTCACATAAGACATTCATTCTGAATTAGGTGAAACTTCCTGATCATTACAGAGGCCCTGATGAGGTAACATTAGTAATTATAAGTATCTCAAAGCAGTTACAATCTCTCATAAACTCAGTGCACTGCCTAAATTTCAAAAGCTTGGTATGCCTTGGTGTGATTGCTTTAATTGTCTTACACACACATTCATATAAACAACTTAAATCAGTTTAGGCAAAGAAAATACAATGGAAAGCATAGCTCCTTTTAAACTAAACTTTACAGTAACTACTTCTCTATTCACAATACTAAAAACGGAAGGTCACTTTTGGGAAGCAATTTTTAGAAATTACTAAAATATTAACGTTGAAAACCCACAAAACTAAAAAAACAGGTATTTTCCAATCTATTAAACAAAATATATCGCAATATAAACACAAAAAAAACTTATCAATAAGTTCCATCCTACAGTAGATATTTGATAACTCCCCAACGTCTTTCAATAATAGTTTTTAACTAAAAGGGGGGGGGGCATACCAAGAGAATTAACAAAAATTAGAGAAAGCCTGTTAAAACTTCTGGTTTGACACTTAGGCAAATATGTTCTGGCAAAAACGCGCCGCTAGCCAACTATCATCACATACCCGAACTCCTCCGATTAAAAAAAAAAAAAAAAAAAAAAAAACCCCAGCTCTGAATTTAAGAAAAAGAAAGGGACGACCAAATTAAAAAAAGAAAGACAGAAAGAAAAAGAAAAGTCTTGCCAAGGTTCCGCAGCGGCTGAATAGCCTGCTTGTGAAATGCTAATGCCACTTCGAAGCAGTTAGTCACCAGCTATTGTGTAGGGCAGGAGAAAGCCGAGCCGGCCGCGCGTGCAAAGCGAGCGAGCTTGCGCGCCCTCCCTCCTCGCGCAGCTCGCGCAGCTCTCGCTGCGGCCGCCGCCGCCTTGAGCGCGCCGCCGCGACCGCACGGACGCGCGCGCCGGCCCCTCCTCCTCCGGCCTTGCACTGCACAACACTCATGACGTATCTTTATTTCTAGCACATTAACAAAATATCACAAATAAATTGTCCGCAGCCCCTGCGGCCTGGGGGTGCGGGTCCCCCCAGCCATTGCCCCCCGAACCCCCCATGCAGGCCTACCAACCCTCCCCGTGGCCTTTGGAGCTTTCACGTTCTGGGGCCAAGTTTTTGTCTCTGTAAAAAATTGCGGGAAATTCAATTTTTATTCGACTCAGGGAAAAGTTTCTTTGCTCTGCGACGTGAATGCCTCACCAGATTCTGGTAGGTCCTGGGATGCTCCTTCCCGGTCCAGTCGGTGCGCCGGGGCAGCAACTGCGGGGAGAAGACGCCCCGTGAGCCCGGCCCCCGGCCCCGGTCCGCTCGATCCCCTCCCCCGCCCGCCCCGCGCCCCGCCAGGGACCCCGCGCCCCGCGCCCCGCGCCCCAGCGGCGGCGGCGGCGGCGGCGGCGCAGCGGCCCAGGGGCAGCCGTGCGGTGGCGGGACGCGCCGGGCCGCCGCCGCCCTTACCTCCTTCTCGGCCACCTCGCGGATCAGCACCTGCAACAACAAAGCGGGGAGAGCTAAGCCCCGCGCCCCGGGCCGCGGCCCCGTCGCCGCCGCCGCCTCCCTCCCCCACGCCCGCGAGCGGAGAGCGGCGAGCGCCGGCCCGGCCCGCGCCGCGCGCCGCCGTACCTGAGCCGCCTGCTGACAAGGTCCATCTTCCAAGAACCGGGCGATGAGGAAGTAGAGCTCTGCGCGGGAGAGAGGGACGGGGAGACACACAGACTGAGCGGCCGGGCGGCGGGGGGCGGGGGACCGCGGGCGGAATCGCCCGGTGCCAGCGGCCCCGCAGCCCCCCGACTTACCCGATCGCAGCTCCGAGAGGCCTTTCCTCTCACAAGACATGTTTATGGGTCACTTCGGGGCCGCCGGCGGGACACCCCGCCGCCGAGGGGAAGCGGGGATGGTGCCGCCGCCTGCCCTATAGCTGTCAGTGTGTGTTCACGAGCCGAGCCTCGGCTCCACCATTCAAGCAACGGCGGCGGAGGCGGAGGAGGAGGAGGAGGAAACAACAACTCTCAGGCAGCGGCTACGGCCGTAGCCGCCTCCGCCGTGGATCCCTCCGCCGCAGAAAGGAGTCCGCCGCCTTGGCGGCCCGGGGTTCGCTGGGGTCCTCGGCCGGCGCCCCCGTCCCCCCACCCGGGGGACAAAAAAAGGAGTGCCTCCGACCCCTCGCCCCCAGCGCCCGGCACCCGCCACGGCGTGACCCTCGCCCCTCCTCCTGGCCCRGAGCGCGATTTATTTATTTATTTCCAATCGGAGAAGATGTCGGAGCCGAAGCCGCCGGTTGGCTGGAAGGCGCTTTCTCTGTGGAGGCCGATAGCGGGAGGGAGGGGGCCGGGAAGGATTCGCGGAGGGATCTGACGCACACGGTGCCGCAGCACTGGGTCTATTCAGCGGCGCTGGCTGGGGCTGAGATGGAAGTTAGTTTCTATGTAGCAGAAATAGGAAACAAATGAAGCAAAACTGCCCAAAGAGGGGAAATGCCCCGAGGATGGGTCGCACTCTCACGCGCGCATACAGACACACGCAGAGAGCACTCTCACGCTGGGCAAACTCGGGATCGCACTGTCTTGCCCGAGTTGAATGATAGTGTTTGGTTTCTGTCTCTTGCCATGTGCATGTGTATAAATGCTGCGGATTGGCATCTGTGTAAGTCTTGTCCTGCGTTATTTCTGCAGCCTATGCAAGTGTTGTGTAATTTATTGGAGTGCTGTATATTGAAATTGAGGTTCGGGCTGCTTTTTGTTAAGCACTTGGCGTTTTGGAAACCCGTTATTTGCTGAAGCCACCTCTGCATATTTCTTTTATTACTACCGTTGCCTTAAGCGTACGTTTTTTAAAAGATTTTTTTTTTTTTATTGTTAAACCACGGCAAAGCGAACTCCTGATTTGTACTTCAGATACTCTTTCCTGATTACAAAAAAAGGCTAGTGATGGCTAATTAGGGATTTGGGATTTAAGAACCTTAAAGCTTTTTAAAATGTTTACAGGAAGGGATAATGTTAACGTGAGTGAAAGGAAGGGACGCTAATATTTATCTTTTACTGATCTAGAGGTAATTTAGTGACAGATCGATAACCTACCCGAAGGATACTGAAAGAGTATACCACAGTTTAGCCAAGGTGATTAGTGATTAAATAATTTAAATTATCTGTGTATCTTGCCGTTGACTTCGTCATGCTAATTAATGGCTTCTAATTTGAGGTGTAAACCATTCCTGTTTACAGTTAAACAGACTTCTTGAAAACTGACGAAAAGAGAAAAAAAATAATCTTTGTAAATCAGTATGTAATTACCGGTTTTATATGCTAAATCATACATCTGTGTATTGCTGATGAGGATAAGGGCCTTGTTTTTTTTAAAAAACGAATATGGGTGAAATTAATGGAAACAATAGAAAAAAACATTTGTTAGAAAACAAGGACACCAAAGATATTTATCTCCGGATGATTTAAGCACTTTCCAAAAAGACTTGAGAGTTCAATTCTTTTTAAGGTTTGCATTTTAAAGGAAATTAGGGTAGTCATTCTTTTGTTAACATTTAACAAAAGATTCTCCTTAAAATTTTTAGACCGATAAAATGCATATTATGGATTTGGTTTTAAAAGGTTATTTGTGAGGAAAGGACCAACAAGCTGTATTGTGATTTTCTAGATTGTTTCCTCAAGCCTTGTACCCTCCTAGCTCCTTACATTCCTTGTGGGAAATACTTGCTGCTGTTGCCTTGGGCTGTGCACTACAAGACAGCACTATTGTAATGCCCTGTACTAAAACATCCAAAAATCATCATACATGGAAAGAAGAGGGAGAAAAGCCTCAACCCCTTTGGAATAATAGGATGTAAAATTACCTTTTGCAACTCTATCTTAACAAAATAAAAATGGGAAGTTACCATGATTTGTCCTATTGCAGGCTAGTTATCAGAATAACTGTTATTTCTTGACATAGCTATCTTAGATTTCTGAAAATATTTGCATCTTTAAAAACATTTGATTCTATTCTAATTGTTATAGGCAAAGTAACCTACTTCTAGATGGTTAGCCAAAAAAAAATAGAGATATTTTACATGCTTTTTTTTTTTTTTTGCAGTTGTACTTATTCTCTGATGCTCTTAACTTTTTAAAAAGTATGTTTTTCAAATAATCATGGTATCTTACATTATTGCGATGTTCTTCAAATTAACAATTTTAGGAACTAAAAATTCTAATTGGGAATTTCTGGTTTTGAAATGCTATTATTTTGATATTAATTTGAAATGATATTAGTTTGATTCTTACCAATAGATATTTTATCCTTGTAAAGGAAAATAAACCAAAGTATGACAAAAAATATAAAATTACTCTGAGTAAAGTTTCAATATATATCTTATGGGAGTGATATAAATATGAAAAGCTGTTATGATTGCCTCATGTATGTTTTTCATTTGAGAAGCCATGAAAGCTTTTTCCTAAATATGCTACTAGTACGTAGCTTCTAAAAAAATTTTCACGAAAAGTTTCCTTTTTTATATGATATTCCTGTCAATTTTACTAATCTTTGACAATATTTTTAGTTTCTTTTAAAAATATTCTATTTGAAAACAGTTGTAACACTGSCTTTGAACTAATTCCTATAAGTTTGTTATAAGAAAATGTAGATTTCCTGACAAAAACTTCTCTACAGCCAAATAAACTAATTGTTTTTAGCAACAGATATTAAGTTGAACTTTAGCTAGTCCTTCAGATGTAATTTAAAAAAAAAATTCACACAATCTTTTAATTTCTTTAAACATAAAACACTTTTCTGAATTCTGGTATCATAGATTAACTATAAAGTTTATTAAGCTATTATTATGTGTATGTACACAAAAAGTTTATACATATCAAATAGAAAGAAAATCTTATTTGGAATTCCTACATTGTAGATCCCAAAGTAATGACCTTTACAGTTCTTTATTTAACTAACTCTTTTGCATATAAGGATAATTCAGGTTCCATCACTAACCCTTTTTGTTTATTTATCTTAACTTTTTCTGTATTTCAAAAATAAAATGTCAGCTTAAAAAAAATATTCATACATTTTAAATAGGAAGGCCAAAAAAAAAACAGTTCAAATTTGGAAAACCAACAACTAATATTTTTATATGATACTGTCTTTTTAAGAGAATTATAAACTTTTTTAAAATGAGAAAGTTTCTGTGAAGTTCATCACTACATTTCATTTGGCATCATATGAAACAAGGTAAACATTTAATAAAAACTTTTGTCTTGATCTTGATAAGCCATTATTCCAGTACAATTTTGCTAGTTCTATCCTTTCTAGAATAAGATGAGATGGAATTTTTTAATTTGAAAAATTCCATTACATTTATGAAATATAGTATGGGAAATAATACATAACAAAAAAATCTCTACAAATAAAACTTGATAAATATATGTTAAATCTTATTTCTGTCTTAATATTATACTGCTTTCTCTAGCAAAAGTTTTACCCTATGAAATACAGAAATAGGAGACACCCTTTTCCACAAAATACCTGTAAAACTGCTGTCAATACAATCTTGTTTAATAGACCACACTTCTTCTTGTGAATCGCTCCCCAATATTGTGTGTTTCTGTCCATGCTTGCCTTTTTATTGGCATATGCACCTTCCCTCTTCCTTCACAAAGTATGAATATTTATCAAATTTGAAGCACATGAGTAGATATAATATTTGACTCCTACAGAAAGAACAAGGGTAACCACTTTTAAAAAGCCATTATTTAACTTTTGTTGTTGTTATTTAACATTATTTAACATTTTTCCCTGACATCTCACTGAGAAACCTTTTAAATTAGAGCACATTTTCTTTTAATCTGTAACAAAGATTATCTGGTCCCCAAAGATTATATAATCCCTTCTGTATTTACATGTTGTTAGTAATTCACTCAACCTTTTCCTCCTCCAAATTAAATAATCCTAGTAGTTTAGATTTTTTATAAATTTTAATCTGCAAAAGAAATACACATCTTCATGGATTAATTTATGTTCTTTTTTCTAACTTACTTCATGAATTTAACAGTACAATTACAAAGATTAAAGGAGAAAAACAATTTTAGAACATATTTCCCCTAGATTTGGAGCAACACAGTGGATAAAGTAGAAAAAGCCGTTCCAGATGGCAGGAAACATAAAGGAGAAGTCTGCAGGCTTGTTCTATCATAGGAGGATGGCTGATGGGCAGGGAGTGGGCTAGCCTGAAAGAACAGTGGAAGAAGAGAAGGTAGACATGCGGGGAGGGAGAATGCAGAGGCTCTGTAAAGTTGCTGGTGATTGTGTTTCAAATAAATCATACTATTATAAAAGTGATATTAAGATTTGATTTATTATGTAAAATTGTGGATGTGTAACCGACGTGATTCTGCAATCTGCATTTGGGGTAAAATTGGGAGTTCATAACCCACTTCAATCTAATGTATGAAATATGATATGTCAWKAGCTTTGTAATGTTGTGAACAACCAAAAAAAAATAAAATTAGAAAAAAAAGATTTGATTTAAACAGTCTTTTGCCTTTACTTATGCTTGAATTCATAACCTTCAAGAATCCAAAAAAAGGAAAATAATTTTAGTTATGGAAAAATAAGGTAGAAACTTATCTGACAAGTCATGAGGAATCTGTGCATAATAAAAGATACTAGAAACCAAGGACACCAAAGTTAAAATACTATTGGTGAAAAAGGAGAATGGTTTGAAAGAAAAATATCTGAACTGGTGTTCACTGACTGGTAAGGTCCAACTCAAAATTGAGAATGAAGTTAGATTTAACTGACTTTGTAATTTWAAAAAAAAATGTTCTTTTCAGTTCTAGAAGTCTTATAATAAGATGCCTAATTATACAACCTTATTTATAAATTGCTCCCTCCCCATATATATCAATATGCACGTGTGAGCTCGCACACACTTGGTAAAGATCACCTTGACTGTCATTATAGTCCCTTTAAAAAATTTTTTTTTGTTTTAGTTGTAGTTGGACACAATACCTTTATTTTATTTTATATTTATGTGGTGCTGAGGATTGAACCCAGTGCCCCGCATTTGCTAGGCTAGCGCTCTACCGCTA